CTCTGTATCTGAGATTGTTGGGTATCTCTGTATCTGAGATTGTTGGGAATCTCTGTATCTGAGATTGTTGGGAATCTCTGTATCTGAGATTGTTGGGTATCTCTGTATCTGAGATTTTGATGAGCACTACTTTCAATCTGTTTGCAAATGAACACCTTTGCATTTATAAGGCTTTGTTGTTGATAAGGCTTTGTTGTTGATAATGTGTTATAATTCTTTTCTTTTTTAACGTGTGTGTACATGTGTATACATGCTTACTATGACATTCACACAAAGGTCAGAGGACTACTCGTGAAAGTCATTGCTTTCTTTCTACCATGTGGGTTCCAGGAATTGAAATTGGGTTGTCAGATTTGGTGACAAGTTTGTAATAAAATCTTATTTATGTAAATAAAAATACATATAGGCTATTTTTCAAGAGAAAGCTGTGGTGTTCATGGCAAAATCGCACTAAATAGTTCACAGTTGGAAACCGAATGGACCAATAGAAAAAAGGTCTGTTCCAGGCTCTGCACTCACTACGGTAAACGTTAACCAGTAGTTTTTCACAACTTAACATTGCTCATTGCTTTTCTTTTGTTTTAGGCAAGCTCTGGAGTCGGAGTTTAAAGTTAGCTTATACTCTCCTTAATAAACTGACCAGTAAGAATGAGCCACTGCTTAACCCTGGAGACAGAGTAAGTAGCTCGAATGTGACCTTACTGGAGTGAGTCAAAATAGAGACCTTACTATATACTTTACTGAAATCAGTGTCCTATCAGTTGCTCAGAATTACAGTGCTAATATAAGAGGCTTAAAGTTAGCAATGGAAAGTTACTTAATATGAAAAAAAAAAAAAAACTTTGTGGTAAGAATTAAGATGGTGTAGCAGGGACCCAGCAGCCAGGCACCTGTGGCTAATGTGGGTCACTGTGTGCAGTTGGGGTGGAGGGTTTCTGTCATTGTAGGAAGCTCTGGTGTGTTGAACTGCTCTAGGCGGGCTGAGCAAGAGTTTACCCTGGAGTTACTAAGTGATCAGGATGGAAGGTGAGAAAAGATGGTGAGAGTTTTCCAGGGACAGGTATCCTAAAGTGTCTGATTGACAGGATAACCTGCAATTCCGAGGGGCCTTTCCTGCTTTACACCTTCATGTGGCTCCGCCCACGAGAAGAGTCCTGTGAAGGAAAACCATTCAAAAACAAAGGAAAGGGAGGGAGAAAGGAAAGGGGACATGGGAAAACCAGGTGCAGAAAGAAGGTCTCTAAACATTGATGTCTCTTGAGACCTGAAGTTACAATGTGTCATACATGGGGGAAAAGAATTCTACTTAGAAAGACCAGGAGGAGGAAAGTGAGTGGGCCTGGAGCATGTCTGCGATCCGAGTACTAAAGAGCGGAAGGCTTTGTACTCCAGGCCAGCCTGGTTTACAAAGTGATGCTCTGCCTTAGGAAACCAAAAATGAAGGGCTCTAGAGGTGATGGCTCAGTGGTAAAGAACACTCCCTCTTCCAGAGGACCTGAGTCTGGCTCCCAGACCTACATGTAACTCCAGTCGGTAACTCCAGTTCCAGAGGTGGGACCTGTAGGCCTGTGGTGCACATAGACATACCTGCAGGCAAAATCTTCATCACCTAAAATAGAAATAAGCCTTTTAACAAATAACAGAGGGGCGAGGGGATAGGAGAGACGGGAACAGGAACGCAAAGCATGCACAGAGAGAAACAGGGCAGATTTACAGACTCATGTGAGACCCAGCGCCTGATGTGAGTCCAGAAAAGACGCAGCTCAGAAAGCAGAGACTCCTGACCGTAGCAGTAGCAGAATGAAGTCCTGCACGGGGACAGTGTGCACACTGAAGGGGATGTGCAGACCCATGCCAGAGCGTGCGACAGAACTGTGTAACCTCAGGGACAAACATCTCAGAGGTTTTTAGGGTGGGACTAGAGAATAACGCGTACACAGACACAGCCATCACAGTGACTTTGCGGCTTCTCAGCATGAGACTGGAGGAGTGGCCTCAGCAATCCAGCGGGAGTGTGACGTTTTAGACTGCACTTGTGATTCCAAACAGGTTTGAGGATTCGCAGAGTATGTGTGCACACGCATTAGAGGACAGCGTGTACCTTCAGGTGCTCTTCTTCAGGAGCTTGCTGAGTAGGCTGGGCTGACTAGCACAGAGCCCCTGGGATCCACTCTCTCCACCTCCCACCCTGTGATTACAGGCGCACACCACCATACCTGGCCATTCAAAATGAGGGTTCTGGGGATCAAGCGCGGCTCCTCCTGATTACACTGCACACTCCTTACCGTCGAAGGTGTCTCCCAAGCCCCGCCCCCATCCACTTATTTATTTATTTATTTTGAAAAGCATTCTTAGAGAGACGGAGACTTGCAGATGCTTTCCTGACTTGCAGGAGAATCTGTACGGAGTGGGTTATCTGAACAGTTGAACCAGCTCATAGTGACTGAGCTATCAGTCACTGGAACTGATACCGGAAGGATCTCGCTCCTGTGATAATGTACCTTACAAAGGGCATAAATACACCTCTGTGTAACGTTTTCTAAAAACACCTCTTCTGTACCAGTTAAGCTTGTCTCAGGGTTACAGCTGAGGCAACCACTGTTTAGTCATCTGTAGAAGGAGAGGGTTTTCTTTTCCACAGACGTGTTAGATATGGAACTCGTACACTTGAGGCACAGGATGAAGATAGATAGCCAGGGCTTAAATGTTGTCTTAGCTGTTGAGGGATAAGCTAAGCCACTGTTTGTCTTCTCAAAGGCTCTCAGTAGTATTCTGGCTTATTGCTTACGATTACAAGTCCAGTTACTATATTTGGGTTCTATAAAATTTTGTCTCATAAATAGTTTTATGAATTTGTCCAGATAGTAGTTTTTAAATGACTGTTGGGATTGTGGCAGACCCAAATAAATACCCATATGACTATAGGAAATAAAATAGACATCTAAATATTTTAAGAAATCAAATGCAAGGAAATAAATGTTTCAAAATATGCGAATGGGGCCAGCAAGACGGCTTAGTGTGCTTGGGCATCAGCCGCCAAACCAGACGACTGGACTGTTTACTGATAGCAACAGCCAGTGTGGATGGATGTTAATTCTGGCTCTCAGCCTGCATGCATCAGAGGCCTTAGCTTACCACTTTGAACTGTTTTGTTCCATGTACAATAAAGGCTGCACCTACAACTGTTTATTCAAAGTTGTATGAATAAGGAAATTTAAGGAGCAAGAATGAATTCCAATGTTCTTTTTTTAACAGAATTAGATTTTCTCAACTAAATTTGGAAAATATAAAAAATACTCATCTTCATCTAATTAACAGAAATTCTAAATGATGAAAAGCCTCTGTCATTTCTGCGATCTCACAGGTTTTTTATGTTGTTGTTTTTTTCCACTTGTAGGTGGCACTTGTGTTTCCAAATAGTGACCCTGTAATGTTCATGGTTGCGTTTTACGGGTGTCTCCTGGCGGAGCTGGTCCCTGTCCCTATAGAAGTACCACTAACGAGAAAGGTAAGAGACGTGGGTCAGGTGTCTCTTTAGGTGTTGTGTGGTTAGTGCTCTCTTCACAGGTGCCTGGAGGAGACAAGCATCAGACAGGCTTCCAAGGACTTCCAAAGAGCTCCACGGGGTTTGCCTGCAGACACAGCTGCACTCCAGTGGGGTAGAGCTGTCATAGCATCTGAGTGCGTTGTCATCCAGTGAACAGAATTGGACTCAGCAAGCTATTCTGGGGTTTTGTTTATTGAATTGATTATAACACCAGATAAACAGGATCCACATCCTCATGTATTTCTTGTTCACTTACAGGGCAGGCGGGTTTGTCGTTCATAAACTGTGAGCGTGAGGGACTTGGTTGCTCTAGGTGGCTGTCTCAGTTTGGATGTGAATATCCGCAGTCTGATTATTGAAAAGTATCTGAGCAGAATACTCGTGCGTCTCAGAAAACCAGGCGTTTCTGTCCTCTTATTTCTGTGTTCACGCAGTTGTTAGCATGGGCACAGTGAATAATAAATGCTCAAGAATCTCAAAAGTAAAATTTCCAAATAAGACCAGTGCATCTCCAGGGGTCTAACGGGATAACCATGCATTAGGGTACAGTGATTCTTAGAGAACAAACCCTAGATTTGTTAAGCTTATATGATGAACATTGCTGAGGGACAGGCAGAGAGAGGATCTGAGTGGTGGGGGGACAAGTGCTTCTGTGCACAGTGACGACTGTGACAAGGGCAGACCCCCAGAGTCATCTGTAGGTTCCAAACGGGAGTCACTGTAAACGATTATGTCTAGAGTCCATTAAGATGTATTCAAGCTTCATTTGTAAGAATAAACTCCAATAAACTAGCTCACTATCCAGACGTTTATATTTCACTGCGAATGAAGAAATCAGAAAGAGCGCCCTCTAAATTTCAAATACTTGTCTTGTTTTTATGAAAATAGAGTATCCTGCCGACAATCAGACTGAATTGTTTTAGAAGTTTTATGCAGGGTGAAAGACTCACACCCAGACTGAGCTTCGGGGGGAGGCTGGGGTGTGGCTCTTGCTCCTCCTCCCTCTCCCAAGCGCTCCACCTCCACCGCCATTGCTTTGTCTTCTGCAGGATGCAGGCAGCCAGCAGGTTGGGTTTCTCCTGGGCAGCTGTGGGGTGACCCTGGCCCTGACCACAGATGCTTGTCAGAAGGGCCTGCCCAAGGCACCGACAGGAGAGGTGGCCACTTTCAAAGGTGAGGCTCCTGGGTCACAGTTCTGGCTGTGCTCTGGCTACACCTTTTACCTGGCTTTGCCTTCTAGGCATGCTGTGCCAGACACTATACCCACAGAGGCTGCTGGGTCTTTAGCAGAAGATATACTTGTCAAGGCTTTTGTCTGATTCGGTGCACATATTATGCTCCATGCGCCTGTCTGAGTAAAAGGAAATGAAAACAACACTTGTCTCCTCCAGCTCCCTGGGGCTGCCGGGTGCATACTGGGCCCAGGTTCCACATGTGTGCAGAAAGAGCAGAGCTTTTTGACTGCCTTTCACGACTTCTCCCATGTGCTGTCACAGGTTGGCCTCCCCTCGCCTGGCTGGTGATTGACGGGAAGCATCTGACCAAGCCTCCAAAGGACTGGTACCCGCTGGCCCAGGACACAGGGTCCAGGACCGCCTACATTGAAGTAAGGACATTCTCAATAGTGCACAGACACATCCTCACAGGCTCGGGTCTGGGTTTTATAAAAAGACAGCTCCTTAGTACTGTGTAGGCTAAGTGTTCTCCTTATTATTCTACCCCAGGTATACATAGTGTCATATAGAACCTTAGTTGTCATGTCATCCCTGACTGTCCTTCCTAGGACGTGGGCAGTTAAGATGCAGCTGTGTGCACTGCTGTCCTCTAGCACTGTCCAGGTCCCCTGAGACCCACGGTGAAGGCTAAGGGACAGATGACCCCAGCTGCTGCCGCTTAGGAGTCTCCAGCCTCCTTGTCTGGTGTGGTTACAGAAGTATACATTGTCGTCTTTCTTCCTTGAAATTTTACAGTATAAAACCAGCAAAGAAGGCAGCACAGTAGGGGTCACTGTATCCCATTCGTCCCTGCTGGCGCAGTGTCAAGCCCTGACCCAGGCATGTGGGTACACGGAAGGTAAGGCCATACGTTCCCGATTGCAGCTCTTGCTGCCTGCGTAGGTATCTGATGACCACGGCCTCGCCTGTTGCTGTGCATGGTGCATTAGCTTTTAATGCAGCTGCATCAGGCAGTGGGTGCAGCTGTCTATTGATATCCTTGGGAGAAGGTCTCAGCTTCTGCAGGACTCGGGGGATAAGGTGCCCCTCATTGCACTCATGCGCAGTGGCTGGATCAGTTGTTGGAGTGCGGAAGGGCACTGCAGTGAGCATTGTCTGTAAAGTAGAGAGCCGTCATCCTGGAGCGTCCTCCTCCACTGACGTTTTCATCTTCGGTAAATGTGTCTGTGGCTTGAGCAGTCGTGCTTGTAAATGCTGACATACAATCTCTGTGATCTTAGATTATCTGTGTTAAAGTAGAGCCCCGACTTACCGTTCATATTCTAAATAAATATTATATTGATAGATAATACTTGTGTGTACTGAAATTGGACACATGGTGGTTTTCTTATGTTGCAGAACCAGAACCGAGAAAACTAGACATTGAGTGGCTCATTTATATATGTAAAATACAATGCTTAAGCCCAAGGGTTAGCTTGTGTGCATAGTGATAAAGACGTGGTGGAGATTATCAAGTATGTCCAAGGGCTTTAATGATTTTTTTAAACTTAGTTCTATAAAACAAAGTCCTCTGAGGTCTCCCGACCTCATGTCATCATTTATGTCACCTTTAGCTTGGCTCTTCAGCTAACAGGGACAGGGAGGATGCCATTCAGAGTGCAACAGTCTCTCTGATGTGCATGTGGCTGCTTTGTACAAGTACAATGCAAAACTGTCGGCTGTGGGTGTGACAACTGGGGGAGTCTGGGTAGGAAGCTGAGAAATAAGGTGTCCCATGGCAGTTTGTCATTCTGCCTCCTGCTTCTGAGAGGCAGCCTGTCAAAATGGTGCCGTGACCTTTCTGTAGTCCTTGCTGTATGTAGCCGTTCCTTGTGCTTTTGAATTGAAGATCAGCGTGGTTCTCCGCTCCAGTCCAGAACTGTGTGTCCAGTCATCCGAACAGATTCTTAGCTCGTCGCTGTTTACGGTGCATGGTTTGGAAGTGCCGTCTCTGTTTCCTGAAGCTCTGGTGTGCTGGTTACGTATTCATCTTAGGACCGCGCTCGACGTGTGTGCAGAGCTTACTAAAGAGCTGTTTGTCAGTTTTAACTTTCTGTGTCCGCTTTCAGCTGAAACGTTAACGAATGTGCTGGACTTCAAAAGGGATGCTGGTTTGTGGCACGGAGTCTTAACAGTGAGTGTCGTTTGCTAGTGGCTGGGTGGGAGCAAGAGATGCACCAAACCCGTGAATGTTGATGGTCCAGCTTGCTGGGTTTGGTTTGCTTGTTGGGCGTTGTCTCATGCTGCCGTCCTCCGATCTAGTCCATGTCTCATTTGCAGAGTGTCATGAACAGGATGCACGTCGTCAGCATCCCGTATGCCCTGATGAAGGTCAACCCCCTCTCCTGGATTCAGAAAGTGTGTTCCTATAAAGGTACCGGAAGACCGCCCTCACTTGCCTCATCTTTCTTTAGAGAATTCTGTACAAGCTGATGTTGGGTAACTAAGTAAACATGAAGGCAGGGTACAGAACTGCAGCTGTGGGCTGAAGAGCTATCTGGGGATGTCTCTGTAGGTCACCCTGGTCCAGACCTCCTCAGGGCCTGGACAGCTACCTGCAGCAGCGTAGCTGCACTCTTCACCGAAGGACCAAGCACTCCTCATTTTATTCTTTTGAAGTTCCCTTCAGTATCACATCAGTATTCCTGGTATTATCTGAGATGGTTTTCATTTGTGGTCAGAGCTTCCGAAGCTCTGGCAAGGCTGCTGTTCAGATGATACAGTCTGTGAAGGCAGGGGGCATGGACAAGGTAGGCCACCTGTGAGGCCTGTCCCCTGTTCTTCTTCCCTCCTAGTGGGTGAGGTATCTCCCAGCACCAAACAGGAACCCCTGCTTGTGTGACCACACAACTCCAGCATCCGTATGTCCCTGTCCAACAGAGCTCAGCATCTAAGACTACCTTACTGTACCAACGAGTGCTGGTGACAGTGTTTGCTGGCTTCTCCCAGATGAGCATCCCTATTACAGAATGTCTGGCGTCTGTTTTATGGAGGAAGACGAAGCCTGGTCGAAGGCAGTGGGATTCACTGGGCTCTGCACACTCACTCAAATCCCAGCTCATTTCATGACCTGGAGGCTGCCAGAGCCCCTGACCTGGTGACGCACCGGTTCTGGCAATGAGGCAGTACAAAACAAGGGTCAGCACCTTGGGGAGGGACAGCACACACCTAAGAGAAAATAGCCAATGTTCAAAGAGTAAAAAAGTCTCGGGGACCGGAGATACAGCTCTGGTGTTGAGAGCACTGCCTGGTTTTCAAGAGGACTTGGGTTCAAGTCCTAGCACTCACTTGGTGACTCACAACTGTCTGCAACTCCAGTTCCAGGGCATCCTATGTCCTCTTCTGGTCTCCAAGGGTACCAGACACACATGGTACACACACACATATGCAGGCAAAACACTCATACTCATAAAGTAATAAGATAATAAAAAGGCTAAGTCTGAGAGATGTCTCAGGTTAAGAGCACTGGTTGATTCTCCAGAGAACCCAGGTTTGAGTTCCAGCACCCCCATGGCAGCTCACAGCTATCTATAACTCCAGTTAACTGCAGGGAATCTCATGCCACTCTCTGTGCTCTGTGGGAACTGCATGCCCGTGGTACACAGACATACATGCAGGTAAAACACCCACACACGTAAAACAAAAACAAAGGTCGGAGAGTGGATCTGAGCGCATTACATCCGAATCGTATCTCCACATTGAGTTTTAAGGAGAAGGGATGGAGGAGGTCAGGAAGCACAGGAGATAACCAGTGACAGTTAAACAGACAGGAGTGTGGCCCCTGCAGCAGGCCCCTCACGCTCTGCACGTGCGCCTCTGCGCAGGATGAAGTGCAGCAGTATTTCAGAGTGTGAGCCTGCTGCCCCTGTGACAGGAGACTCCCTTCTCTCTGCAGCCCGGGCCGCCCTGGTGAAGTCCCGAGATATGCACTGGTCGCTCTTGGCGCAGCGAGGTCAGAGGGATGTCTGTCTCAGCTCCCTGCGCATGTTGATTGTGGCAGACGGCGCTAACCCATGTGAGTAGGCTGGGTGACCTCGGATGGGTTTGTGGTATTTGCATACATGGTTCTCGACTTGCCTGTTGAGCTGGAACCCATTGTACAAAAGTCAAGCTTTATGGCTGCTCTGGTAAGTGTCCTGTAAGGTCCTGTGACATGCTGCCCCTTGTTGGTGACCCATTGGTGGATCACATATGTATTTATTAAGACTCTACATTTACAAGCAGTTTTAATACAGCTGTCAAAACTTTTAGTGGGAGCCGTTGTCTTTAAGAGGTCAGTGGACTATGCTATAAATAGGGTCCCCGATTTGTTAGCGACCTCGTGAGCCTCTTGCCCTTTGGTGTTAGGCTCCCACTAATGTGGCTCTCAGCTCTGACTTCCTTCGCGGGGACCCAGCTGTTCTCCTTCCATGCCCTGGCCAACCCTAAGTCCTCCTGGAGGAAAGCCTGTGGCATGTGCCTAAGCAGTGAGGACTCTGCTGTACACAGTCTGAATGTAACTGCTTTGGTGGCTGTGTGCGCTTCCTCAGGACTGCCTGAGGCCTGGAGTAGGTGTCCTCTAGGGGAGCCCCGAGTGACACCTGTGGAGCAAGGGATTTCTTCTGCAACACCAAATAGTTACCCCTATTCTTCTGTGTACCCCATCTTTCAGGAGAGCAGAACAGGCACACAGCACCCCTAAGAACCTCTCATTATCTTAATGAACATCTATGACAAGCAAGGCATCGCCTCCCCATATCCATAGCTACTCATGCCTTCTCATGCCCACAGCTGCCCACAGCCGCCCACAGCCGCCCACAGCCGCCCACAGCCGCCTACAGCCGCCCACAGCTGCTCTAGGTCTCTGCTTTTGCACTCAGCTGCCCACAGCCACCCACAGCCGCCCACAGCTACCCACAGCCGCCTACAGCTGCCCACAATCTCCCACAGCCACCCATAGCCGCCCACAGCTACCCACAGCCGCCCACAGCCGCCAACAGCTACCCACAGCCGCCCACAGCCTCCCACAGCTGCCTACAGCTACCCACAGCTGCCCACAACCGCCCACAGCCGCCCACAGCTGCCCACAGCCGCCCACAGCTGCCCACAGCCTCCCACAGCTGCCCACAGCCTCCCACAGCTGCCCACAGCCTCCCACAGCTGCCCACAGCTGCCTACAGCTACCCACAGCTGCCCACAGCCGCCCACAGCTGCCCACAACCGCCCACAGCTGCCCTGGTTCTCTGCTTTTGCACTCAGCTGCAGTCAGTGATCACTTGAGCACATCACTTCCTTTCAGTGTTTTCCTTCCGGAGATAAATGTTGGCTCTAATAGCTTTGCCCTGTCTCCTCCATCCACTTTCCTCCAGGTATCAGCTAGCCAGCTTTCCTTCATTCTCCAAAGAATGTGAAACCCAGGGGCCCCTATAGATGTTTGTTCCCCTTCTATGTGCCCTTTCGGGAGGTTCATGAGACCCTCCCATGGCTATAGGGCCCTAGTTATTTGGGCCCTGAACAGGCAGAGCCTCCTTGTTGCTGAGTTCTCTAACACCCACTGGTACAGCCTGTCAGCCCTGAATGACAGGAGTCTACCCAAAGGAGAGGACACCAGGGAGAGGCAGGACATCTTCGGTAAAGATGTAGATCACACATCTCTAAAGTTACTAGTAGGAGCTGCACTTACTGTCCCATCAACTCTCTAGTGCCAGGCCAGGCCTTGCTGGGCCATAGTAACAAACACAAGAGTGAAAACAGGCCTGTGAGAGATTTCCAGACTCTTTCTTGTTGCCGAGCTGGAAGTGATCGTGTGTATCTTGTGGTAATCACCTACCTTAAAAAGGGCTGCTTTGTCAGGTCAGCGTGGTGCCTTACACACCGCGTGCTCTTGGCTTGCTGGCCCTCCAGTCACCTCTCATGCTTTACACAGGGTCAATATCTTCCTGTGATGCCTTCCTCAACGTCTTCCAGTCCAGAGGTCTGAGGCCAGAGGTCATTTGTCCTTGTGCCAGTTCTCCTGAGGCGCTGACAGTAGCCATCCGCAGGTAACTGAACTGCACGCCGTCTCTTGTGAACACACGTTTGAGTAGTCTATGTATGACGGAATTCCCTATGGCCCTAAGTTTGGAATCTGTTTCTAACTGTTGGGCATCCTGAAGAAGGACTTCCTGGCTGTGCCTCTGTCTCCCTGAGGTAGCAGAGGTGCAGCCTGCAGTTCCCTGCCCCTCACCAGTCTAGATCCATGCTGGGAGTTGGGTAGTGATTCCTGGACTGCACTGGATTCTCTCAATTTTGTTTTCCTTACACTTCTTTCCAAATAGAGAGCTTGCTATTTCATGACTGATCTTATGTACAAGTTATAACTAAGCAAGAGCTCCTTATCCTGAGCGTCTGCTGGCTGTGGGTCTGCTGAAGAGGACCTTTAACTTCCCAAGGGAAGCGTCTGGCACTGTAACCTCTACATCCCAAGCGTCTCTCATGGATATTTCCTTTGTGTCACATCTTGTGACTTGGAGTAGGACCTCGAGGCTACCCTGAGAGTCCCCACCCTCATCTGAGAGCTAGCATCCTAGTGTCTGGCCCTGGGTTCCTTCCCATGCTCACTGAACACAGCGTGTTGTTCCCGTACCACAGCTAGGCCCAAAGGCACTTTCCTTCCCTGATCATGAGACTCCTGTTACTGCTGATCCTGCCCTCCTGTGAGCACCACTCTGTGGGGCTTCAGGCTACGATCTCACAGTAGAGGACATCTCTTTCAGCTCACTATCCTCAGCATCTTGCTGCAGAATTGCCTCAGCTCTGGCCATGTATGCACTGTGCTCATAATTTAAAGGTAGTGTGTGCTTACAAAGATCTAAGTTTTAAGTAACTATTTTAACAATAGAATTAAAAGCAGTAACCCATGTCTTGGGAAGGGCTCTATCAGGCCATCTGCTGTGGGAAGGGGGTGTTATAAAGATACCCTGGGCCTGAGCCCCCTCTACACGTGCACAGTATCATGGCCCATTGCAGCACAGAGGCCTCCCAATAGTTAGTCTGCCTACCTGGGTACCCTAGGGCTCTGTGCTAAGGTCACAAGATAACCAGGTAGAAATTGAGTCACCTCTGATGACTGATTCAGAGGTCACACAGTGTCACTTGCCCGGTATTCATGGGCTTCCCTCTGATGAGGAAGCCATACTGCAGAGAGGGACATGGCTTTGGAGCACACTGTCTTGGCAAGGTCATTCACAGAGCAGGTGCTTTAGTGAGGAACTGAATGTTAGGCAAGGCTGGCCCTCAGTGCCCTCCTCTTTGAAGTGATAACCCTCGTCAGCAGGCCTGCTGGTGCTCTTGTTGTCTAGGCCCCCAGATCTGGGAGGACCTCCTCCAAGAAAAGCTGTCCTGTCAATGAACGGCCTGAGCTACGGTGTGATCAGAGTCGACACTGAAGAGAAGCTTTCGGTCCTCACTGTTCAGGATGTTGGCCAGGTGATGCCCGGAGGTAAGAGTCGGTCAGAGTGCGTCTGCATCCTGCCCTGATTGACACAACAGAAAGAGCATTAGTGCACCAGCTGTGCTAGCTCACTCGCTGTACGCCAGGCATAGTCCTTGGCCTCATGCCTTTTGGAGGGACTTAGCACCCTGCAGTCTCTATAGGGTACCTCAGAAAAAACTGATGCTGAATGCCTGGGTGATGAGGTCACCCAAGTAGGTTATAAGAGCACCTGTGGTGGCAGGAGATGTGGATCCCCACCCCAAAAAAAAAGAAGGAAGAAAGAAAGAAAACCCCAGGTGCATCCTCCTGCAGATGTTGGCCTGTGCACTTTCCTGCTGCTTTGAGGAAGGACAGGGAGAAGGGGTATTGCAGTGCCCCCTCAAGTGTCACCCAGCAACAGGCCAGAGCCTTCCTGGCTCAGGAGCCCTTGGACACAGGGATGCTGTCAAACTGCAGCTGCCCTGGTGCCCTCTTCCTGCCATGGGCAGAGTCCCACTCTTCAGTCCTGGTTTCCTCTCTGATGCTGTGATGAAACATTCTGACCACAAGCAGCTTACAGGAGGAAAGACTGATTTAGCTTACACTTCCAGGGAAGTCAAGGCAGGAACCTAGCAGGAACTTGAAGCAGAAACTGTGGCAGAACTCTGGTTGCTGGTTCATGTTTAGCTAGGTTTTTCTACATCACAGGCCACCCACTGAAGGAATGTGGCGGCCACAGTGCTCTGGGCTTTCCTCTGTCAATGAATAATTAGGACAGTTTATCATAAGCTTGTCCACAAACCAGTCGGCTTTAGGCAAGTCCTCAATTGAGAAACCTTCTCTGAGAAGACTCTAGGACAGGCCAAGTTGGCAAGGTTAATCAGGACACCCTGTTAGTTTCAGAAGTAAGGTACTATCTCTCATGCCCAGTTACCCCAACACCAGTGCTACCCTCTTCTGCCAGATGTGTGGGTTCTGCTGGCTGCCTGGAATCCTGGCTTCAAGCTGCAGTCTGGGCCACAGGCAGCCTCAATGAAGGGCACTGAACTCCTGACACAGAAGCTCCAGGTAGACTGGTCCCAGGGTCAGGCGAGTTCTGACTGGAGTGAACATAGAGGTTTAAATGAGAGTTTCCAGCTCCACATTGTAATTCATGTGAATTCTGTTTCTTCCTATAATTTGACTCCCTCAGAAACAGTCTTGCGGAATGCTTGACTTTGTAGTTAGAACGTTTTCAAAAGCATGGTGGATGACCTCAACAACCTCAGTACTTAGGATGCTGAAGCAGAGGAATCTTGTGTTTGGGACCTGCTTGGGCTACATAGTAGACCTCGTCTCAACAACAACCAAGTAATAAAACAAAAACAGACGACAGAGTAACATTTTTTACTTGTTGTGATGAAGTTCAAGTAGGTTGTAAATTGTGGGGGGATTGCGAGTAGTATTTAGTTTGTACACTCCTTTCTGTGCAGAGGGGGACACATGTATGTGCGTGTGCACATAGAGGCCTGAGGACAACCCTGTTACTTAGGCATTCTAACCCTTATTTAGAAATAGGGCCTCTGTGGCCTAGAGTTCTCTGACTAGGCTAGGCTGGCTAGCCAGCAAGCCGTAAGGACCTACCGGTCTCTGTATACCCAACACTAGAACTTAAAAAAAAAAAAAAGCCACGCATGGCTTTCTAACGCTGGCTCTGGGATTTATCTTAGCCCCCCACGCTTCCTGGCATCCACTTTCCTAGCAGCTGTCTCCCTGTCCTCGATATTTATTTTGAATACATCAAGCGTTACGCTCATTTTTCCTTTATTCCTATAAGACACGCAAACCTGTCTCATGTGTGAGCACTTCCCAGTCATATATCTGTATACACACGCCCACACGTCTGTACATGTGATCCCAGGTGTTTCTCTGTACATGTGTCCGCCAGATGTGTGTACTCATTGTTGTGTGGTACTTTCCCTGTGGAACAAATGAACAGCCATCTACTCATCCCAGACAGGGGACCCATAACAGGCCAAAGTAAGGATACCACCCACGTCCAACTTAGTGGGCCAGTGAGCTTCAGGAACAGAAATGACCCAGTGACAGCTGGATCACTAAAAGCCGACCCCAACCTAGATGACTGCTCACAAAAGCTGGAAACCTGGAACACGCTGTCCAACCTATAGGCAGTGTAAGAGGTTGGAAAACTTGTTCAGGCAGCTCGAGTGGTCTGAGCCACTTCTAGGCAGCTGGGAATGTATCTCTTCTCTGAGAATGTATCTCCTGATTCACTGCAGGTTATATGTAAGCTTTGGGAGGAGAGAGTCTAACGAATCTGCTGAGTTTCAGGGATTTTTCTGAAGCTTCTGAGTTGTTTACTTCCTGGATTCAATGGAGTTTCCTTGAAAGATGGGATATTTCACTTCCTTTGAAAACATCCCATGTCTTAACACACTTCAGTCCAAGACAGATGTCTTACCTCTGATGGCCACACAATGACTGTTTGTGCATGTGCTTCCTAGGAATTCTTTCTGGGGTCGGGGGTCCCCCCTAGCGTTTGGCTGTTGCTTAATTGACTGGGCTTATGGGCACAGTCAAATCTAACAGTGCCTTATCCCAGAGCTGAAGCTTGCTGTATTGGCCTCCTAGCATTCACCCTTTCCACAATATCAAGTGGATTTGTGGTAATTCGAGCGATTTTTGTGACCTTTAAATCATCTCTGTGCACACTGAAAGTAAATACTCATCTCCGTGGACTTGGAAAAATGGGATTCTGTTAGTCAAGAGAGTATTACCTAGATGTAGTTTACTTTTTAATCCTGCATGTGTGCGTTTATGTGTCTGTGTGTCTGTGTCTGTCTGTCTAGTGCTAGCAGTGGACCCAGGACTCCTTATATCCTAGGTAAGCTCGCTACCACTGAGTTACCGCCTTAGACTGCACGGCTGCTTCTAACAAGTACTTAATTAGCACCGTCTACACCGTGACTCTCCGTATAAGAATTTGCTGCCTGTGTAATGTTTTGTTTCTGTAACTTCGAATATAGCAGCAGTGCCAGGCACAGTGGTGCACCTTTTAATCCCATCACTTAGGAGGCAGAGGCAGGTGGATCTCTGTGAGTTCCGTGAGCTAACTTGGTCCAAATAGAGAGGTTTAGACAAGTCAGAGCTACATGGTGTCTCAAAAACTCATAAATAAACAAACAAATGAAAAACCCCACAACTACATGAGCAAGTAAGCCTTCGTGAACAGTCTGTTTACCTGCATACCTTGATGATTTTGAATTCTTTTCCCTGTTTAGCTAGTGTGTGTGTTGTGAAGGTAGACGGTGCCCCTTATCTCTGTAAAACTGATGAAATTGGAGAGATCTGTGTCAACTCCATGGCGACTGGGACAGCATATTACGGACTGCTTGGAATCACAAAGAATATATTTGAGGTTTGTATCCTTTTCCTGACCTTTATCTTGAAATCAGATCCCATGAGTGTCGACGGGACCCAGGTGATTCACACACTCCACGGGCTTAGGTGGGTCCCACCAGGAAGGAGGTGCTGATAGGACCTCAGCTCGGTTCACAGTCTGATCCCTGCTGTTCGTGATAAGTTCTGTAAGGACAGGTGATACCAGGAACCGAGTGTACATATAGATGAGGGTTGTCTCTCGGGGTCCTGCGTAGGTGATGTGTCCTCTCAGCAGAGCAGAGGATGAGAGGATGGTCTGTGGAGGGCCAGGCGCCCTGGGAGGCTCTCTGTGGAATACTAAACACTGACTGGGCCACAGGCGGTTTGTGGTATTTGAAATGACTAAGGTAATGCCATCTTGTCATAACTCTAGTTTGTGTCCACTAAGACAGTTCTCAGCCTTCCACCCTCTCTCCCCAACAGTCACATCCACCCTGGCTTTGCTCTTGGGACTGTCCATGGTTCAAATATGTTAACAAAAATAATGAATCTTTGTGCAAGCTAAAACCAAAAACTGAAACTACTAAGGGGAAATGTAAATAAAATGTAACTGTTGTGTACGTTTGAAAAACACTGCTAAGCTTTGCAAGAAGACAGCATTACCGGAATGCTGTAGCTCCCTGACTGACGTCTTCCCCCTGGAGCACTGACGTAACCAGGGGCTTTGTCTTTAAAAAGCCTGCACCCCTGAGCGTTATCACCAAGAGGCATTTTGGAGGCATGAGCCTGCTCTTGGTCTGCCATTATTGAGTTCTCCTGCTTGCCCACCCTGTCTTTCTAGTAGTCAGTGAATTGTCTGCTGCCTGATACCCTCTTCCCTGTTCTGGCAGACCGTCCCGGTCACTGCGGATGGAGTCCCTGTCTCTGACCGGCCTTTCACCAGGACAGGCCTTCTGGGATTTATTGGGCCTGTGAGTATATAACTTCCTGTACCTGCCCAGCAGCAAAGAGTGCTGGCGGAGAATAGGAACACTTCATTGTAGACATGCTCTTGTCCCCGAGGTCCTTGGTTCTCAGTGTGGCCTGGGCCATTCATGGTGACCACCCTGGCCTGCTCCTTACCTGCATGCAGTGTTTCTCCAGCCACTGACCCACAATGGGCCCCAGGTGGGAAACAAGGAGGTGGAGGTGTTTTTTTTTTATCACTTTTTTCCAGTTTTGATATTTAAAATGTTAAAATGAATACATTCGGTAGCATCTTGGCCCGCCTTTTCTCAGGTAGATAATTGTATGTCCTTTCCCAGAAACATTGGTTGTCATAGCTCAGGGAGGGGCCAGCTCCCTTGTGGGTGTCTGCAGGCCTGTGTCAGGTAGTGTAATGTGGTTGTATCTGTAGCCTCGTAGTTAGCTCGAGGGTCACATGACACACTGGGAGGTCTTGACCTTGTTGGAGCATCTCAGACTCCAACCCAGGACTCCCACCCTCCCACCCAGGACTTTAGAGCCCTTTGGCACTGATGCCCCTTTCCCACCCTTCAGTGCTGCCCTTCACCCATGCGGTCTGTTCCACTTGACCTGAGTATAATGAGGGGTGCAGTTGCTTGTTGACCCCATGTGAGGTGCTGTATTCTTTGTGCTCTCAAATCCTTTTCCTGTGGCCTGACACACCCTTTTTTTCAGGATAACCTTGTCTTTGTTGTGGGCAAGCTGGACGGGCTGATGGTTGTAGGAATCCGCAGACACAATGCAGATGACATTGTGGCTACGGCCCTGGCTGTGGAACCCATGAAGTTTGTCTACAGAGGCAGGTGATGCATGGTAGACCCCACACCTGGCTTTCAGCTCTCTTCTATACTCAAAATCTGGGAGGTCTGTGTAAGAGAAGAGAAGCCAGGGAACCCAGCTTTGCAGAATTTAAAATGTGATGCATATCAGAAAAGTTACACAAAGAAAAAAATGTTTGCATCAGAGATAGCAGAGGTCTACCCTTCCAGAGGCCCCAGGTTCTATTCCAGCACCTACATGGAAAGTATAACTCTACTTCCAGCGTATCTAACTCTCTATTCTGGCACTAGGTACCAGAATAGAGAGTTACGTAGATATATATGCAGGCAAAACAGTCACATACATTAAATAAATAAATAAATAAATAAATAAATAAATAATTTCAAACAAAGAGAGTAAGGTCCAAATGTATTGGTTGGACAGAAAGATGGGACCCCAGCTGCTGGGAGGTGTGTAGGGACTAGCTTCCTCACTGTCTTGTGAACGCTGATTGGAAGAACAGCACTCCTCTGTGAACTACCAAAGGCAGATTCTTTTTTCTAGTAAGACTTCAGAAGACACAATATACCTCATTGCTCCCAGAATAAAAATATCCTCCTAAGTGTCTACATTGGTTAAGCAAGGACTTTAGACACTCGTGTCTGTGGAGTGGACAACTATACCTCTGCCTGTGACACAGTGAGAAAGGGCCAAGAAGGGATTTTGTCCAGCTCTCCCCACCCCTGAGCTCTCGATCCTGGAAGAAGCTACAAGAAGGACAGGAAGAAGACACCGAGAAAGCTTGCTGGATAAAAAGAACATGCTTGTGGGCTGTCTATGCCACGTTGCAGAAATACGTGGGCATACTAGCTGACAGAGAAGATAGGAGAACATGTATCTGTGGAGTGGCAGACATTCTAGTATAAGGAGGTTTGATGGGGAAATCCAACCTCTTAACTTTGATGGGAGAAGACAGAGAGAGCTTTGATAGTCCAAAACAATAAAAAAAAGTGCAAATATATAAACCAGGAAAAAGTGCATGTGCACACACAGG